TTGACTCTCCTGAGGTCCTTTGTTTAAGGAATTTTAGTTCCCTTTGAAAACATTATCCACGGCCGTCTTGGATGACGAACTGAACCGCTCTGGTAAAATCACATCGTAGTCTTCAAAGGTCAACATATTTTTATCGTTAAGCCGAGTTCCCTTGATAGGGATTTTATACTCTTTATTGTTGGCAATGAGAATGAACCGAGTTCGTTCCACTCATCCTGTATGTTTGACATGTAGAGAGACCTAAATCATATAAATTATAGCGGAATTAATGTGACTTACTTATAAGTTGCTTACATCCAGTATTTATAGCATTCGAAAAAAAACAAGTGTGAGAACTAAGGATGGTGATATCTTTTTTTCTCCACAAAACTCAAAAACTTAGTTAAAGCAGGTTAAAAATACAGCTTCAGAGCCAGCTGATGGGGTACCTTGCCGAAGAACGAACTACCGTTCCCGTATACACATATGGACAACGTCTTACAGTGGGCATTGCCGGATTTCAAAGCCTCCCTGAGCTGCGCTATCATATTTCGAATTCTTATGTTTATTCCCAACTTCTTTATAAAGCGTTATAAAATATTCGCGTTCTAATGGCGTCATAGTAATGGTTGCGGGTGCTGCAACAAGCTTGCGCTGCACAAGCATCTCAAGAATATATGTACATATTTTATCCTAGTTTTCTTTTTCTAACTCTTATTTATCTTGAGCAATTTTTAATATGGTTGTCATTTATTTACTTAAGTTTAAGTAAGACGTTCAGAACAAAAAATTAAAAGTGGAATTAGCTATTAAATTCACTTACATACCCAAGGAACTACTTTTCCTAACGACATATTTGATTCCAGAAATTCCTTTTTGACTAATAAATGGGTTTCATAATGGATTCATAAAAAAATTGTATTTAAAACATTCATTTAACTAATATATATCTTAAGGTTCCAATAACTGGTATTGAAATTAGTTTAGGTTTACTTAATTACTTGAATTATATTGAAAACAACATTCTATGGTGCTTGGTACAATGTTGTCAGAGGTATAGGCTAACACGATTAATCAGTAACTTAGAAAAAGATATATATTTTGGGTAATTATAGGAACACCCTATTGTTTTATAAGCAGCGTCAGCCTAAGCTTAGGGGCTGTACCTGTTTCCATGGTTCCCGGTATGGGTATGTGGTTATGTAGTTTTGGCTTATGTCAGCACTTTGGCCTGACATGCGGCCGGCTCGTTGGTCACACTTAAGTGAGTACAGTATGATAGGTTTTAGATTTAAATTGATAAAATTTCATAAAATGAACTCCAGCTAAGCAGCGGCTTATTATTGAATTGGTTATGGGCACTGAGCCCACAACGCTGTCGGTCAGAGCATCAATAGGAGAAGAAGCTTTTCGAATCTGATATGTTCTTGATATTGGTCGTCTCGCGGGTGATCGTGTCCCTGGTGGTCTGCACTTCGATACTCAGGCGGGAATTCTCTGTCTCCAAGTTACGCGCACGGTCAATATAGGGGTCTAGACGATCGTTCAGGTTCTGCAGCTCAATCCCCTCAGCCACGAGAGAAGCTCACGGGGCTGAAGACCGCTGATTTAACGGCCTCCCTGGGGTGCAACCATCTGCAGAAACTACCCATCCAAAGCGCGTATTCTCCACCAGAGGCAGACCGTCTCCTATTTGAATTTGCCCACCGGCAGCAAATCCTCACTCTGCGCTCTGTTGAAGTTCGTATCCGCCAGAACCACATTAGCAGGAGTCTTCCAGTTGGAGACATAAATGTTCTGACCAGGTTAACGCTCTGCGATATGGGACGCCACAACTGTCTCAATGCTAACCGAACACGTGGAAAGGCGAGACTTCAGACAAACATTAACCGATGCTCCATCCGTAGTGAATTCAGTGTCCCCAAGGCCAGTCACTGCTACAGAGCATTCGGACCGAAGAAGCTAAAATTGGCTGGACAGCCGTGATGTGATATGGTGAACTTGTGAGCCGGAATCTAGTAGCGCTCGGCAGGAAAGAAAATCCTGGGTCACAAAGGCGTTAGCTGGCGATTACACGTTGGGCAGCGGGAGGACGAGCATTCACGGGCTTAGGGTCCGGACTTAAGCCAACGAAGCGGAGGGCAAGACGCCGGACTTCATCGTATCGTTTCTCGACTGAAAAGGCAAGGTACCTTGGGCAAGACGGCCCATTAAGGAGCATGCACGAACGATTATTAAACGGCCTACGTCGGCTCTTTGTTCCAAAAACCGAGCCATAGATCCCCAAGCTGGCAGGCCGTCAGCACTGTTTCCTGCGAGAGAGTCTTCCCACTTCGCCTTTGTGGCAGGGTCCAGCTAGATGAGGAGGCATCCTTTAATTTCGTCCGCCGTCCCAGAACTCATGAGGTTCCGCATATGAGCATTGAATCGGTCAGATAACTCCCGGCTCGACTAATCTTAGCTGCAGAATCTCGTTGATGTGAGCCTGGAATATTAATCGTCGATTACTAAAACGTTTGCGCAAAAGATCAAAGCCAACATCATATTTCGCGTCAGTAATCTCCAACGCTCTCACAGTCTCCAAGGCTGACTCCCGCAGACATGAAATGAGCCACCTGAGCTTCTCCATCTTGGTCAAATGAGGATGGCTGTCAATCGTCGTTTTAAACAGTGCGCAGAAATCCGGCCCCTGGGCATAGCCACCGCTGAATGCTGGCATCGGCAACAGGGACAATGAGGGAGCAGGCGTGTAGGGAGTGGGTGAAATACCAGCACCGCTGGTTCCATCCAATAGCAACAGTACTGGAGCGCTTGGCAACTAGCTGAGAGAATTTCCAATACAAATCACTTCCGATTTCGCTATGATTTAGCTCCTACAATTCTTCCTGAAGCTTGGAAAATCGGTCACGCAGACGCTTCTTCATTACTTCGAGGGTCATAATGGTTGAGTCCTCCGTCCGCATCGCAGCCTTGACCTTCTGATGCAGGGCCTCAATTTCTTTACAGGTCACAATAATCAAAACGTGCTATAATCACGTCGGGGTCACCAAAATGTTGAGCAACTAAGAGTTTTTAATTGCTTTAGAATAAATAAATCGGGGCAATTTAATTTCCAAATTTGTATTACTAGTTTAATTCAAAACCAAATTAACTCCACAACAAAACAACGCCGAAGTACAGCTTAACAACAAAGCTTTTAGCTACAGCAGTTCAACAAAAGCTCCCAAAAGAGCATGCGCTATAAGGTAATAGTAAAGCGCATGCGAAACTGAGATAATCAAAACAAACTAGAAATTGCTGATAACCCCGCCGCTGCTCATCCGTCTTTTCTCTGGCTGCTGGGCCCAACACTATTCAAATTGGGTTTTTAGTTTTAAGTAAAAACAAACAAAATTAATTTAAAAATATGTAACATGTTTTTTATTTGTTAAAAGCTGATTGTATATAATTAATATTAAAACAAATTTTATTGTAACCGAATATCAACTTTTATTGCAACCACAGTATAAATTTACGAGTGAACTTAATTTTTTCATTGAGCACCAATTTTAATAACTCTCTAAAAATAATATTTTTTTGAATTATGATCTTATAGCTATGAAATGTGGCAAACGCATTCTTATTCTGTTACACTGAATCATAGGAAAGTGTGGAGGTAGAAAAATATCATAATATTTTAATATAAGTCAAGAAGTCCTGTTACGTAAAATGCAAATACGAATATATTTTTTTTGTTATTACCAGTATATTAAAAAGGAATAACTACCCTGTTTGGGGGGATTCAGGTTTTCAGACCTTTCTACCAACGTGTGATGAAAAACAATGTCTGAAACGAAAATAATTCCCCTTGTCAGATTTTTTAGTCTTCATATGGGTTGATTGTGTGGTCATAATCGACATCTTCTTATAATTTTCAAGGAATAAAAATTGGTTTTCAGTTTATGAATAATAGGTTTAAATTATTCGTTAGGTATAAGTTTTATTTGAACGTTAATTGTAATCACATTTAATGTAACGACATTTTTATACCTGTTATTCGTAGAGTAAAAGGGTATACTAGATTCGCTGAAAAGTAAGTATGTAACAGATAGAAGGAAGCGTTTCCGACGCTATAAAGTATATATATTCTTGATCAGGATCAATAGCGAAGTCAATTGAGCAATGCCTGTCTGTCCGTATGAACACTGAGATCTCAGGAACTATAAGAGATGCAAAGTTAACTTTGAATGAAGATTCTTGAGGTCCCTACGCAGCGCAAGTTTATTACAGCATCCTGTCACGCCCACTCTAACGCCCACAAATCGAAAAACTAAAATCGCTACAGATTCAGTATGTATAATCGTTAGATGCCAGAGCATCTTATAGTGGTACTAATATCCGGCCACACCCACCCATACATCCAGCAAGCTCAAAAGACGGATAGAAAGAGATAGAAAGTTCGGATTAAGTCCACTCTAACGCCCACAAAACCCGAAAAACCAAACATTCAAAACGATAAGTCTATAAGAGTTGTGCTTGAGAATACGTATTTAAGAGATGCCAGTGCAACTTGCCACGAAGTTGCACCGGCCACGTCCACACTAACGCCCATTAACCGCGGAAAACTGTGGCGTTTATAATATTATTATGAATGCCTTCGTTTGACCTTGTATAACTTATTTCTGTTAATATCTATCGATTTACAAAAGATTTTTTAAATCGTAACATTATTTCGCTATTTATGAAGAAATTTTGGTTTTAAGGCCTCACATGGTTTGTGACGTCACTATCAATTACTCAACATGCTTCCTCTGACAATATGTGGCGCCTTGTGAATTTCGACCAGCAAAATGAATAATATTTTTAAATTGTGAAAAACAGTAACGGGTATCTTATAGTCGCGGCACTCAGCTATAGCATTTCCTCTTGTTTAGTCTTCATATTAGTGGATTGTGTGGCGATTCTTCATCATTTAAAGTTATAAATTTTATTTGTACGTTAATTGTAATCATATTTAATATAACGAAGTTTTTTGTTTTTAGGGTGGCTGGTGGTGGAAATCCTGTGGACGCGGTCTGAATGGTCTTTATCTTCATGATCCCCAAGACTTAACGGCTCGGCAAGGAATTGTATGGTTTCGTTGGAGGGGTTGGGATTACACATTAAAAAAGTCCACAATGATGATTCGCCCTAAGGCACCATAACAACATATATTGTCTGGAATGTCAAATTTATAAATTGTTGTTACTTTTTTATATTTAAATTTAAAGGCATGATTAATATATAATTTATTCATGAAAAAAAATTAATAATTTTGAAAATATATTTAATACATTTACATATATATTGACTAAAGACCATTATTTCGATTATGTGGACCATTGAGCGATAATAATAATAATTAATAATAATATATTAAGATTATTTTCGCATTCTCTCCGCGACAGCACAGAGAGTTACGACAGCGTTTTGAATTATCAAGCTCAATTGACTATTTCATTCAACGCGTCCCTCCTGTCTCCCGCCATTTATCCATACAGGATCATGGTGCAGTCCCTTATAAGCTCCCGCCAAGCATCCACAAAGTGTCTTTGTGCAGCCTTACGCAAACATCAACTAACAATTCATCTTATTTCATAACTTAAATTTCACATTCAATTCGCTGTGCAAACACCTGCACCCAATCATCTTGACCCACGCCATAACACTTCTCAACCCTGTGAGACAGCTGTTATAGTGCGGTCATCCCTTCCCCTCTTGGATCTTAGACGCACGATCACTAAAAGGACCTGCGGGGTGGTGAGGGGAAATCCCAATCACAGGAAAAGACGGATAATGGATTTCGGGGTGGGGAATCCATGTTTTAATCACTAAAGTGACAGCCCATAAATCTTTGCCAGAGCCAGCGAAAACACACTACTATACCTGCTTATCTTTGGGATCTAACCCTTATCAGGTCAACCCATTGCTGGTAACACTTTAAGACCATATTGTAAAATACGAAACGTGTTCATGTTTAAGCATACATACTAATAAAGAATATAGCAACACTATTATAAATAAACTAGAAAACCCGGCAAACTCTGTTTCGTGTTATTTAGTTGAACTTTTTTAAGTAAATGGAAGTGCATAGTGAATCGTACGTGTCGGCAAATTATCCGTGTCATTGAAGTGCTCTTTGGTAAACCACGTTTATTGGTCTGACGTTAACACAAACAAAGCGGATGGTTTCCTAACTGCCCATGTGAAAACCAATGATTTTCTAAATTTATCCCGCAAACACTAAGCGATTGGCCTTGCGACTTGTTACACAGGAAATTACAATCGTTTGAAGTCAAACAGAAGATCAGTCGGAATCATTGGTATTCGAGGAATACATACATTTTCACCTGCATACTTTCCATTGATTCGGCATAAGTCTTTACCGAAAGTCGAGTTCCGTTGCAAAGTCGCGGTGGATTCAAATTGCGCAATATCAATCAATTTAGTGCGTGTAAATTAATGTTTTTCTCCTTGGAGTCCACTTGGTCAGTATTTTCTTCTGGGAGATTCCCTCGCAGCCGTCTTCGTATAGGTTGCCGGCTGGCTGCTCCTATCCACTGAAGATTAGGAAGTTTGAGTTGGAAGGGTGACTGCCCTTCTTAACCTACTGGCCTAGAGACTCAGTCAGTTTTGAAATAATAATATGTTTAACGGCAGTTGCCGGAGTTATTCAGTGAATGAGCTTGTGCTCTTTATTCAGCTTTGGAAATGGAAATGACTCCAGAGAGCATTCTTATGGCTAACAGAAGCTCACAGCGGCCACGCAAATATGCTGTGTATGCCGTCTGTACACGAGCGTTCGGCCCATTGCTTGGTCGGCAGTTTAGCCGGCGCGACAATGCTGACGTAGCTATGGTCAACGACTCTGGTCTTGCTGACCACAGTTAACTACTCCCCCTTCAAAGTCAAGGCAGCCTTCGGCCGTTCGTAATTCGGCAATCACCTCTCCTATTTGGATCGCGGATCATTTTGTTCCAGTAAGAGGAGTAAGGAGTAAGGAGATACGCGAGGCCGATGCAGATGAGTGCGCAGGATATTGCTCCTGCAAAAATTACTGCGAGATGCGTCTGGTGGTCGTCGATTTCTTTTCTGAACTCCCTGATGAACTCCAAGTTTCGTTCACTCAAGCGGTGAAGGTACGGGAGGCTGAGGACATTCTGGTTGGCGGTGATGTTCAACAGAGGGAAGCTGGCTGCCCCTGGAACTCTCTTCTGGGTATTAGCATGGTTGATGAACAGGGTGTCGTTTATCGTAGCTTGTTTTTTAAAGGTGACGAGGTGTGTTCCATGTATCCAGACATACGGAGCAGTTCTCAATGGCGTGAATTTCTCCATTGCATTCCGCGATGACGTTATCTTTTATCTGCAAAATCGTCTCACCATGGGCGACCGGGAAAATTGTTATTTTCTTACAAGCTAGTTTTATTTTAGGAAATTTTAAAATAAAATGTAAAATGTTAGCGGACTGCAGAATCTTTACGGACGAGACAGGCAAAAGATCCCCACAGGTCACAGATAGATGTGAGTTTTTGGCCGATCTCAAAATTAAATTGACGGTAGAGGCTAGTTGATTAATTTGGTTTTGAATTTTAGTATTGATTTGAATTTGTCTATTGCTTGACTCAACTAACTTCTTTTCAGTGAATCTGATTTTTTCTAAGTCACCAGCATCCGGTGACCTTTAGCATTGATCCTAAGAAATCCAAACTCCTAGCTACTCTGTGGTGAACGCCCAACGACTCTAACAAATCCTGGAGGTGAGCGATATCCACGCTTAGAAGCTTCTTCATGTGGGATAGTGGAAACATGTCGATCATGCTGCTCGTCTCCTCTATCACGCGACAGGTCACGTGAGAGGTTCGCTGTGTGTTTGACGAATGTGAACTCTTCCCATACTAGGATTTCACGATCAACGATGGGAATGTACTTGGCCTGCGAATAATCAGTAATGTGAGCCGACGCGAAGTATATGAATAGACAAAGTACCTGTGGGATTAAACTTTAGCTATTTTTTTGCTCATAAAGAGATTTTCACCACCACCGAAATAAACTGAAAACAAACTATGCCAATGGCTATGAACCTTATAGTTATGGTAGTAATGAATTATGCCAAGTGGCTTAAAAAATGAATTAAAAAAGTAAAGGACATTGTTTGATTGTATCATCTAAGATTGTCCTTGTGGACAATCCTCCCCTTAATGAGGACCGTGGTCCCCAGGTCCACTTCTACAACTCTTTTCTCACCTAAGGGTGTGAGTTTATTCCCTAGCCTTCTGTTGGATTTTACCAATACTTTTTCACCAACGTCCAAGACCCTATTCTGCAGAGACGCATTTTCCCTATTTCTGAGCATTTCTTGTGCGTTTTTTATCAGCCGGCCTCTTCTCGATGACCGAATGGATAGACTTGATATGCCTGGCAATGGCCAGTAAATTAAGCTCAACAGTGTCGCTGATGCCGTCGATTTTAATGCATCTGGCGAGTTCTGCCAGAGTGCTGTGATACACTGTGTAAGGGTGGTGTATTTGCGATATTAAGTCCAAAGTGGTTAGTCAACATGGCTGAAATTGTATGTGAATTTAAAGAAAGATTTCCTATTTCTTTGGATGCCTGTGATTTCATTGGCCATTTAGCCATTTTAGGAAAATAATACTCCGAGAGTACTTGTTTGACATTTTCTTGTGCCGATCTGTGTGCCCTATTATGCTCGGCAGTCATGATTTCGCGTCTCTCCGTGGCTGCGAAAATATCCGTTACACGGTTTTTGCAGTTCCAGAATTTGGTAGCTGAGAATTGCCGAACCAAATCATCCTGTATCATCGCTAGCGTGTGCAGATCGCAATGAATGGCATTTACGCCTTAAGCAACAACAATGTCCGTCCAGTAATGACTCTTTGCAGGAAAAGTTGACCGCGTGTCGTCTCTTGTTTCCAAAGAGTACGAAGCTGCGTTTTAAGGGAAATCGTGCCTCTTCTAGAGTTATCTGATTCTGAAAACAGTTCAAGGACTTATCCGTTCTTTCGATTGTGTAGGTCAGGGAGAGTTCGTAGGTTGTGTAGGTATGGTAGCATCGCACGATTCAGCCTCTTGTTCCCTTATCACATTTAGTTGCTGCCGAGAAAGTGCATCAGCAACAAGATTTTCTTTACCAGGCTTGTAATGAATACGCGCACCAGACTCGTCAATGCGAGCTTTCCACCTTTTGATTTTTGCATTCGGATTGGATTTCGATACTGCAAAGGTTAATGGCTGGTGGTTGGTAAAGATATTTATATCTTTTACGGCATAAAAGTAGTGCCGTAACTTGGCCAGAGTCATACAATGGCTAATAACTCTCTGTCTTTAAATTCCCTCGAAATCATTGTTATGGGGCGTCCTTCTTGAGATAGGACTGCGCCAATACCATAAGCCGAGGCGTCCGTCGTTAGATCGAACGCCTTTTTGTAATCTGGGTATCTCAGCATCACGTCTTCGGATGCCAAGATGTTTATGCCTACTAATATGCCTACTAACACTTCCGTTTTCGCCATTTAAGATGTCTGAAATGGGTCTTGCGATTGCTGCGAAGTCCTTTTTGAAACATCTATAGTAGCTTGCCATGCCGAGGAATAATCTGATTTCGAATACGGATTTTGGTTCCGGGAAGTCTTGAATGGCTTTGACCTTCTCTGGGTTGTTGCACGGCTACTTCATCCACATGTACCAAACAAAATTTGCCGATTTTCTCGCGCAAAATGTCATCAAACGTCCTCTAAAATATATATTCGAAATTCATGCTTCCCTCCGTTTACCGAAAAGGAACTTTTTTCCCGATCACGTTCCGCAAGCATGATCTAGTGGTAGTCCGACTTCAGGGGCATGCTAACACCCAGAAGAGAGCTCCAGGGGCAGCCAGCTTCCCTCTGTTGAACATCACCACCAACCAGAATGTCCTCAGCCTCCCGTACCCTCACCGCTTGAGTTAACGAAACTTCGACGAAACGACGACCACCAGATGCATCTCGCAGTAATTATTGCAGGAGCAATATCCTGGGCACTCATCTGCATCGCCCTCGCGTATCTCCGTCTTACTGGGGTAAAAAGATCTGCGATCCAAATAGGAGAGGTGATCGTCGAATTACGAACGACCGAGGGCGGCCTTGACTTAGAAGAGGGAGTAGTTAACTGTGGTCAGCAAGACCAGAGTCGTTGACCATAGTTACGTCAGCATTGTCGCGCCGGCTAAACTGCCGACCAAGCAATGGA